CGTTATCTATCTATAAGTATAAAAGTATACTACTAGCAAAATCATAGGAAACTAATTTAACATACAGTTTAAGACATATAAAAGATAGGAATTTTAATGGACTACGAAGTGCACGGGTTCAACTAGTACAAAATATAATAAAAATCTATACCAGCGTATCTCCCCCTCCRCYATTTTAATTGTTGTATAACATAATTTACTGAGTTTAATTATTCWAATTTGTTAAGATTTGAAATAACAATTATTTCATTTTTAGAATTGGCCGTTCTGGAAGATTTGGGCGCAAAGGTGTTGCAATAAATTTTGTTAAAAGCGATGACATAAGAATCTTACGTGATATTGAACAATATTACTCCACACAAATTGATGAAATGCCCATGAATGGTAAAGCTAACAAATAGTTATTGATTTAATTATGATAAATATTATATTATGTTGTAAAATTAACAGTTATAGCTTAAAATTTTATGTGCATAACTTAGTTTTTATTTTGTATAAAAACTATATTAATTATTAAAGTATATAACAAAATTGTCTTGAATATATAGTATGAARTTTATACTAAAATATTGTTTTTATTTTGCAGTTGCTGATTTGATATGAAGACATCGAAAAAAAAAATGTAGCGTTAAAACTTTTTCAATAACATTTAAACTTTTTATTACATTATAATTATTAATTAAATATTCACTTAAGAATGAGATTTTGTGTTTTAATTTTTAGAACTAACAATGAGATATAATAAAACATATAATTAGATTTCTGTCTTTTTAGAGACTTACTTTCTACCCATGTGTTAAATGAAACATTTTTCACATGACCTATAAGCTGCACCACATGTTGGCCCTATAGTCAATTCGGTAGAACTTATAGGTTTTAATACACACAGTGGTTTATGAAAATCATAAATTTATATGTAAAGGGAAAAGAGATATTTTAAACAATACAAATAATAATAAGATAATTTTAAGATAATCATGGGGCTATATTTACACAGGCAATAAGATTGCATAGTAATAATAAAATAATATAAAAATTGTTTTCTACGATTAACAAAACTACGGCTACRACAGGCTGTTATCGAGCAAGTTAACCCATCATCATACATTAATATGTCACTTATATATTGTATACCAAACTGACCCACAGCTCCGCATTATGGTTACCCGGGCATAGCTCAAGAAAATCGTAGTATTAGGAAATAATGACTAGGTGTCATCTTGTGGTGAACTTTTGTACATTAATTTAATATGGATAAACAGGCTGCCCTGCCCATACACACCTGCAGA